TCACATAGTATTTCTACTCATCAAAATATGGTAGTCTAGGTCAATATATCACTTAAATCTGTTTTGCACCAAACATCAACTTTAAATATTCATATATGCCAATATCTCCAATCAAAAAAAAATCACCTATACTCCTTTTATTCCAAGGCCCTCATATAGTTTTAATAGCAGCTAACATAGCAGGTACCATGAGGTGTCAAATTAAAAAAAAATGTTTAAATCAAAATAGTTTTACTAAATTTAATAGTTTTCTTTTTTGGACTTCTTCCACTAATAATAGTTAAATTCCGGCCCTGTATTTACTACTAGGTATTCATTGGAGTATCAAGTTTTTCTTCGTATTAAAAGGAAGTTAGTTTATTAGATATAACAGTATTATAAGTACCTATAATAGATACATTGCATTTTCATACGTGGATTCCATATCTAGATATTTCTCTATTAAAATATGAAAGACATGTCTCATGCGAGTTCATCTATTGCATTTTGAAACGCTCTGTATAAGTAAGTGTATACAGGGTGACCCATTATGGAAGGGACAGAGATGATTCAACGAAACACTGGGTTGTTAAAGTTGAAAATTGAAAAATTATTTTTTTTTATTATTCAGTATAATTTTAATAAATTCGGAAAAACGGGCGTACAGTCTGTTCGCTATACTTACGCGGGTTTCGGATTAACAAAATTATGCAAATTAGTTATTGACAACCAGTTCCAATTAGCATCTTCCAAAGAAATTAGGTAAAATTGCCCTAATGGTCAGATTTAAATTAAAATAACATTAGGGTAGGTACTAAATTTGCGGCGGGTCCTTTTTGCCCACAAATCTCTGTTTTCTACCTGTGTAAGTAAAGGGGTGCGTTAATCTTACTGGTATTTTGCCCACAGTAGCATTCAGGTACCTAAACCCGCAAATTACATCCGCCCACAAATAGGTACCTACCTGATTATTAATAATTCTAATAGGTACTTACTTTGGGTGTTTACTGTTTATATTTCAGTCAGTTTTTATACGTTGATGATTGTAATTCGAGTGTTTATAAACAATAATTATTTCTATAATGTCAGCTACATTGATTAAAAGCACACGCGGGAAAGATGTACTCCTTTTGGAGAATTTTACGTTTGCCAAAGATAGAGAAATGAAAAGTGGAGAAGTTTCTTGGAGATGCTCCCAAAGAAAAACAAATGCTTGTAATGCCACTGTATTTACAATTGGTCCTGAACTTTTAGTATCCAGAGGCAACCTAATTCATAGCCATGAAGCAAATGAACCGAAATTAAACAGGAAAATTATTTCTAATTCGTGTAAGCGAAAAGCAGTTGATGATATTTCGGAAAAACCTTCTAAAATTATCCGTAAAGTACTTGCTACTAATTTACCAGAGTCACTAACTACAATTGATGTGTCCTACATAAGAAAAACTATATACAACAGTCGTCGCAAAATACTACCAGGTCCATTACCTACAAATATACAAGAAGTGCATGATGCAGTTAACTTATATTCTAATACATTTAAAACCAGTAAAGGTGAACATTTTCTTTTAATAAATAGCAGAGAAAATAATATTATTGTATTTGCATGTGAGACAAATATTCGTACTTTGTGTAAAATGAACGTCTTGTATATGGATGGAACATTTTCGTATTGTACAAAGTTTTTCCTACAATTATTTACCATTCATGGGCTGTGTAATGGACACTATGTGCCCCTGGTATATTGTTTATTACCAAACAAATCTACCGATATATACAAACATTTGTTTTCGTTATTGCATTATAAAATTTTGGAAACTTACAGTATTGCTTTAAATCCATCTAAAGTGTTCGTTGATTTTGAAATAGCAATTCATAAGGCGTTAATTTATATGTGGCCTAATACTGTAATCAATGGCTGCCGATTTCATCTACATCAAGCGTGGTATCGTAAAATTCAGTCTCTGGGATTAATGACTGAATATACAACTAACAGTGATGCCGGAAAATGGCTTAAAACATCATTTGGGTTGACATATTTAAACGCCGATGAAGTTGGAGACTGTTTTGTGTTTGACTTAATGGCAAGTAAACCAGAAAATGCCGTTCTCGATAGGTATGCCGATTACCTATTAGAAACATATATTGAAGAAAATTCTACATTTCCTCCAAGTATATGGGCAGAAAAAAACAGCTTCAATTACAAGAACTATAAATGCCTGCGAGTCGTTTCATTCAAGGTTTAATTCTTCATTCTACTGTACACATCCTTCTGTATATATTTTTATAGAAAAGCTTAAAGACTTTCAAATCGACACGTATGTCACAATACAAAGCTTAAGTATACCTAAGAAAATCAAAGACAAAAGTGTAAAACAAAAAATTCAGTGTTTAGAAAAATTTATACAGCGATTTGATCTGCAGCAAATCAGCAGATTAGAGTATATAAAATTTGTATCACATTTATCCCTCCCAGTTGAAAAATATGTAAATAAAATATAAATATATAAAAAATATAATATAACTTATGTATACTTTTTTATAATAATAAAAATTAGTGTTTAATATAATTTTTAGTTTAATTAATAATGTGTTTTTACTTTTCGATAATATATAAAAAATAATAAATGAAAGATATATCTATTATGATTTATTCAGTTAGAAATAAATTTGGGCAAAATACCAACAGGATTAAGATGACCTTTTACTTGCTGTGGGCAAATTACCTATAGGATTAGCAGCTTTAAATATTTTGTGGGCAAATTACCTCCGCCCTAAATTTGTTACAAATATTGCAGTTGAACTGATTCTTTGCAAGTGTTGACATTGTATGTATATTGTAAATTTAGTGGAAATTTTAAAAATGCCTAGATGTGTGATAGATGTAGATAGTCTAATTTGTAGTGTACATAAGTATTTTACGGATGAAAAAGAAAATGGCGGTCCTTTAAAATCGGTAATGTCTGTACAACAACGCGTATGCGATGCTCTAGGAATTAGTGAAACCAAATTAAGAAGAGTATTACAAAATCACAATAGTGAACTGCCGAAAGAAGATCACCGCAAAACTCACCCATCATTGAAAACGAAAGATATTCCAGATGGACAGAAATTTGAAATTCGTGATACCATTTATCGAATGAGGGCCAACAAGGAAAATGTGACCTTAAATACAATTCTCTCGGAATTAATAGATAGAAAATTTGACGACATTGGCAGACAAGTCTATGGCAAGTGATACATAACTTGGGTTTCAAATTTCAAAAGGAGGATAACAGGAAAGCCCTTTGTGAAAAAGTTCTGTCGTGCACAAGAGAATTAACTTTCTAAGAAAATATTCTAAATTTAAAGAAGAAGGGGCGAATTTTATATATTTAGACGAAACATGGATATTTTCTAGGGGTGCAATCAAGAGAATATGGCAAGATGATAACGTAAAGTTCATCAAACATACCGATGGAGAAGGGAAGCGACACATAATTTTACATGCAGGAGGGAAATCGGGTTTTATAAAAGGTGGTGATTTAATATTTTCATCTAAATCAAAATCCAGTGACTATCACGATATTATGAACACAGATATGTTTGTAAAATGGTTGCATGAAAAGCTTCTTCCAGGTTTAAGTGAGCCCAGCGTAATTATTTTAGACAATGCACCTTATCATTCTGAAGTATTAAACAAAAGTTCAACGAATTCTTATAGACTGTTGATAAAATTAAAGAATGGTTGACAAAGGAACATATACCATTTCCTCAATATATATTAAAATCAGAATTATTACGCTTGGCAAATATATACGCAAAACCAAAAACTTTTGTTGTGAATCAGATTATTGAAAGTTACGGTCATCAAGTTTTACGTCTGCCACCGTATCATTGCCAGTTTAATCCCATCGAATATATATGGGGAATAGCAGAACAATATTATGACAACCGGGAAACTTAGCGGAAAGCACTTTCAATTGCAACTCCAGAAGTGTGGCGGAACTGTATATCCAAGTGCGAGAAACTAATAGAAGATTGGTGGACTCGTGAAAATAAAATAAACGAAATAAGTTCAATCATAATAACAATTAATGGTGATGACAGTGATGATGATGATGATGATTGATATTTTGGATGATAATGATTGATTTTTATTTTTGTTGGCAAGTTCAATTTTTTATTTTTCATTTGAAATTCTCTACATGGAACAAATTTTTATGTTAGAAAATAGGTATTTTATTTGAGTTAAATAATTCTTTTATTATACATAGACCATATTTTCTGTGTGAAGTGTATTATAAAATTATTATTAGGTTTATAATAGCCACATTAGACTCCATTAATGAAGAAGTTTAATTCTGCTCTCAATTATTATACAAAAGATTCTCCATTATTATTTAATTAAAAAGTTGTACATTATTTTTCATTTCATTTAACCAGTTGATATTTCCCGAAAGAACAAGTCAAACTTTCGGGTACTTACCTGGAAATACTCATAAAATTTTTAAACCGAAACCCGCGTAAGTATAGCGAACAGACTGTACCTAGGAAGGTACTAAAAGGTCAAATAGAAATAGGTACCTAACCCATCTTAAGAGTAGGGCGAACTAAATTATACCTAAGCGGGTCATGATGACCCGCAGACACCGGTCCCGGGTTAACACCTACTATAGGTAGGTACCTATTTCAAAAACGAGTAACATTTTTCTTAAGCATGTTTCGTTTAATCGCCATTTTTAAGTTATAATCTTCAATTGTTGTGTAATTCCATTCGTAATGGTACACCCTGTATGCTCCTAAATAAACAATGATAAATTTTCTGACCCCAGTTTCCCCTAATACGAAGTTTATTGAATCTAAAATTGAATCTGCCTATCTCACAATAAATAATATTTACAATCAGTACAATCACGCGGTTTTAATAATAGATATGACAATTTTTCCTTATAAGAAAGAATGACAGGTATTCCATCAAACTGTTGACAAAAACAATGCAAAAAAAAAATTGAACATTTTCGCGAGATACCTACGCCCTACATTTAAATCAAGAACTCCGCCACCGCCACAGACGTTTAAACCAAATCTAGTAACTTACAGTGCTGCCACTCGGGGAGGGGACGTCTATAAAAGCCAACTCCGATCGCCGCCATTACATTTCAGATCAACGCATCGAAGAGAGCCAGTCGTGTTTTCTAGTTAGTTGTTAAAAGTTTTTTATATAAATCAATATGAGGGAAATCGTTCACATCCAAGCCGGTCAATGCGGTAACCAAATTGGAGCAAAAGTGAGTACCGAAATACCATTTTTTATACAATTTTTTCGGTTTAGATTGATCAGATGTGTTGTGAACCGGCCATATTGAGGACGAACCCCAAAATGACCTAAAACGATCTTGCAATGTATTTAAATAGTGAAAATTAGTTAAAATCGGATTTATTTAACGATTTTGGATTAATTTATTTGTTATTCGGAGTTGTTATCGTGTTTTAAATTGATTAAAATTCAAATTATAAACCGGCCGGTTGATGTATTGATTATTCTGAAAACATCGACTCGGCTTAGGTGTGGTGTCTAACGGTTTCTGTAACTATTCTTGTGCAGATACGTGTTCGTGGTATTGATTTTGAATAAATAATCTTATATAAAATCCATATAATCCTAAATAATTATATATTAGGGCTTATAAATCAACTAACTTTCTGAAATATGTAAATAAAATACTATTTATTGTTGTGAAATATGTTCAGTATGTTTTCATGTAGGTTAGTACATTTTGTAACGGTTGAATAAGGGCGGTTGGTTTTTTATTAGATATACAGCGTGTTTTTTTTAATTTAAAATAGCTCTGTTGGATTATAGGTAATTAAAGTTATAATTTCACGGTTAACTGACCATTCAAAAGGCATCAAATTAGTAAAACGGGACTTTTATACACTTCGATAGGTACCTACTTTGTTCTGAATTGTATGCAGGTTCAATGTACTAAATTAGTTTTGTTAAAATAGTGTTTACTTACCTTCTGTTTCCTACAAGATTTTGAGATGTCTTTAATTTGAATGGGAATAGAAAGTTGATCTGTAACTAGGTATTCTGCGGTAAAGTAGATCAATGGACCGGATATTTTACACTACAAAACAAGCATAATACTTGTGATAGTAAAAATTTCTTTTTAAATTAGTAAAAAGGTGAAATTTGTTTAAAATATTTTAAGTATAGCTTTGGAGTGAGATAAGTGATGACTAACATCGAAGTGACTTATCTAAATACATTTTAAGATAGATACCTACATTTTTTTCACTAATTACTGTACTTTATTCGAATAGAACCCTTCTAGGTTCCATTGAAGAACCCAGGTGTGCAAATTAAAAGTTTAACCATTAGATTATGAAATAATACATATCTATGTATGGAAAATTATGTTTCATTTGCTATTTTCATTTATATTATAATTAAAAGTACTGTTTTTCTGTCACAAAACAAAATAATTCATGGAAAATGTCTGTTGACATATTAGTTTGCAACGTTGCCATAATGTATTCTATGCACTTCTGTGCTTCGTATGTTTATTAGGGTCATCTTAATTCATTTATAAATATGTTCCTTGTCTTAATTTTGGCTAATGCCTAATTTAAGTTTTTTGCTTATGAAAAATGAAAAACTAAGCATAAGTACTTGTAAGTACCTATCACATGCTACATTTACGTCTTACACTGTTGCCAAGTCGCACAAAATGTCTACTATTCAATTATTTAGTATCAAAAGTACAGCAATTCATTTCTAATGACTTTTCTTGCTGACAATATATTTTAATACTACTATGTGTATTAGAGTCGTCTTAATTCATTTATAAATATGTTTCTTGTCTTAATTTTGGCTAATGCCTAGTTTAGAGTTCTTTTTGCTTATCAAAAAACTAAGTATATGTACTTGTAAGTATCACATTATGTCTACTATTCAATTATTTAATATCAAAAGTACAGCAATTCATTTCTAATGATTTTTCTTGCATTAACAATATATTTTAAAACTATGTGTATTAGGGTTGTCTTAATTCATTTATAAATATGTTTCTTGTCTTAATTCATTTATAAATATGTTCCTTGTCTTAATTCATTTATAAATATGTTCCTTGTCTTAATTCATTTATATACATATGTTCCTTGTCTTAATTCATTTATAAATATGTTCCTTGCCTTAATTCATTTATAAATATGTTCCTTGTCTTAACTTTGGCTAATGCCTAATTTGAGTTCTTTTTGCTTATGAAAAATGAAAAACTAAGCATAAGTACTTGTAAGTACCTATCACACTATGCTACTTTTACGTCTTACACTGTTGCCAAGTCGCACAAAATGTCTACTATTCAATTATTTAGTATCAAAAGTACAGCAATACATTTCTAATGATTTTTCTTGCACCTAACAATATTTTTTAACATAACTATGTGTACTAGGATCGTTAAAAATTGAATTTTTTCCGACGACTTAAAAGAAACCTTCCTTTTGAAGAAAACATATAGGGGATTTTTTATTTGTACAAAAACACGTGTCTCAAGCCGATTGAAGTTTATTTTTTCATAAAATCGTAGTTTTTCAAGATAGCTCTTAAAGTAGACGGATTTGAGAAAAAAATATGAAAATTTTGATTTCATTATTGAGAATATCTCCATAAATATGAACGTTATAAAAAAATCAAACGAGACCTTGTTTGTAGAGAATTTTCTTTCCTACAAAATTGCTATCGTTTGATTTTTTTATAAAGTTGATATTTATGGAGATATTCTCAATAATAAAATCAAAATTTTCAGATTTTTTTCTCAAAACCGTCTACTTTAAGAGATATTTTGAAAAAAACTACGATTTTATGAAAAAATAAACTTCAATCGACATGAGGCACGTGTTCTTGTACAAAAAAAGTTCCCCTGTATTTTTTCATCGAAAGGAAGGTTTTTTAAGGCGTCGGAAAACATTTAATTTTTAACGACCACTCTAATGTACTTGTAGGTATCACACTATGCTACTTTTACGTCTTACACTGTTGCCAAGTCGCACAAAATGTCTACTATTCAATTATTTAGTATCAAAATTCATTTCTAATAATTTTTTTTGCACTAACAATATTTTTTAATATAACTATTGATGTTTTAAATATTCCACTCCCTTTGTTGTAAAATAAATGAAAAAAAATGGCTAATTTTTCTTTAAAAAAATGTCCTTATTGTTTACACAAGATATGGAACTTAGGTTTTTTTGTTTACAGTAGCAATACCTAGAAGTACATATGCTAAATTTTTCCGTAATCGAAAAGAGCTCAAACTGAACATTTACAATATTTTTTTATAAATAATTCTACAATTAAAGAATATTTTAATCTTAATAATATTCATGTACTTTATTTTGTTTATAACTAAAACTCTTGGCAACATTGTATGAAAATTACATAATCTTTTAATTTTTGGTTTTTTCGCAATTATTTTTTATATTCACTATATAGAATTGAGTATTTTATCAAATAGGTACGTACCTAAGCTATTAATGAATTAAATTATTTCTACACATACTTTTTAAATAGTACCTAAATACATTCATAACGGTTAAAAAAAATTGGTTTACTTTGGATTGATAATAAAGGCTGTATTACGTAAATACCTAGGTATATTTTGTTAATTGAGGTTTTATAACACTTACGCAGTAGGTACTTAATTATATTTGACTTTTGAATGCACTTCTGCCGTTAGATAAGAATATTTAATCAAGACAAAGTGCAAATTGAGAAAAAAACAACTCATAATTATCTCGTTTTAGAACCTCTACTATAAGTATATCTTATTTACATATTTATATAATTTAATTAGTTTATGTTAATAGAAAAATGTATTTTTATTTCCAGTTTTAAATTAATAATTTATAACATGACCACTTGGTTGTTTTTGACAATGCTCTGGTTGCGCATTCTTTTCTACACCCACGTAAACTAGAATAGTGATCTTTGTCACTAGATTCAATTATTTTTTTTTAAAGATCTTTCGAAGGTTCCTAGGACTCTAGGGAGACTTCAGTTAAATTTTCGCAGGGGGGTAGGGGGCATTGCCATTAGAGTCGTTCCCTTTTTTAGCTAGGGGTAAGCTATTGCCGAAAAACAAGTCGAAATTACTACAAATTCTCTCGGAATTTTCGAAATCATGGTGGGAATCATCACCGAAATCAATTTGTTACTGCAAAATATCAAGTGAAGAAACTGAGCTTTTTTAGAAGAAAAAAAGGTAATTTAAAGATAATTTATAGGGAAATATAGGAAATTTCACTAAAAGCGTATAACACTAAGGCTGGCATGGGAATGCATCGAAGAATTAAGAACACTGCCAGACCGAAATAGAGTAAAACTATTTTGGGTGCCAGGTCACCAAGGGATCGAAGGCAACGAAAAGGCTGACGAACTTGCAAAAAGAGGGTCAGAACAAACACCGGAACCTGACACAAACCCAGGAGTACCAAAAAGTACAGTCCGGGGTTTCATAAACTACTGGATTCGGCAACAACATATCAACTATTGGGGAAGCACCCAAAAACAGGCACATGGAAAAGCCTTCATAGGCAGACCATGTCCCAAAAGAACTGGAGAACTACTCTTTATGAATAAGAACCAGTTGAAAGTAATAACAGGGTTCATGACTGGGCACGCCCCACTAAAGGGACACTTGAACAAAATTGGCATATACAATGGGGAATTCATGTGCCGAATATGTCACAAGAAACCAGAAACGGCCAAACACATACTGTGCGAATGCGAAGCTCTAGATCGCAAGACAGGCTCTTTTTGGACAACCCCAGGTTGATCCAACAACGTATGGAACCCGCTCACCCAAGGATCTGTACAAACTTGTACAAGGTACAAAGGTGACAGAGTGGGTGCTGTGAACGAACATGGGGTAAAACACAAGCCAATAGGTTTCAGTGTTATAGAGAAAGTAAAAGTTGAAAAGTCTTTTGGTAGGTAGAGAGGGGGTAAACGTCAAACCACGTCGGGCGACTCCGAGAATTTCACAGTAATGTTTACCTGCCAGTGTCGTTTCATAGAATAAGTAATTTTAAATTGTTATCGGTGGAACCGGACAATCGCATGTATTTATGGATTATAAATAATTATTAAACATGTATTATAATATTCTAATTATAATTTTACAAAATTTCAACAGCTATTCACAATTTATTAAACTATTTACTCGAAATTGTTATTAACATCTATAAAATAATTTTGTACGCCAATGTATCGCGTCCACTTCGG